TAGTTATAAAAAAAGCAAGAACATTTACTCGATATTTTTGGTGTTAATGAAAATGCGGAAAAAACGGCATTTTTATCACTACTACATTCCTCAATTTCTCTCGTGCGTTTTTTTGGTTCAAATAACAACAGCAGATAAGTGTACAAAAAGAATTTAATGTCGAAGAGTAAGTTTTAATCTTCCTCTTTGAAGATGATCACTTGGTGATCGAAACACGTGTCAAGGTGTTTGTACATGATTTCATGTTCTACAATTTTTGTTTGGAGTATTTTAATGATAAAACTTACCGTTTTGCTCAAAATCGCGAAAAACTCATTTTTTCGACTTTTGACCTTGAATAATTTTTTTCCATTCAGGGGAAAGATGGGGAACTCTCAAATTTCAGTTTCAATCATATTTTAAACAATTTTACTGATTTTCAGCTTGGTTGAAATTTAGATAACTTTGCTCTTATTTTTGGTCTAATTTGACCGGACCATATGCATCTTTTCACAATTTTAATCAAAGAAACGTTTTCCTCATTAGAATTGACCCATCATGAATACATTCGTAAAATCTTCTCATTCTCAGATAAAAGTATAATCATACTAAGGACACCGCTTTCATTATTAAGACATCAATCCGTTTCAAGTATATCCAAATTACTGTTTGAATGTTTCCCCAACAAAAACTCCAACAATTTTAATAAGGAAGTTGTTTCTGGAGCGGAAGTCGACAAAAACAGATTAATAACTTGATGCAAATATCGTTCATTTATTTTTTCAGTATGGCCGTCAAAGGTAAGGCGTGAAGAGGTCGTTCATCATTGATCCGTGGATTTTATCGATCAGTGATTTTGTGGCATTGCCTTGCGATACGGTGAAAGTCATTCAACCTTAGAAAAATGTAAAATATGTATTCACATCGATATATTTGTCTTCCTAATCACTCAAAGATCAGGGTCAATCATGATTTAGGGCACGGGGACGAAAGAAGTAGGTAAATGTTTTGAGTAATCATAAAGTTGCTGCAGATCCAAAACCAAGATATTTTCTGAGATCAAAATACAGAAACAACGAAATGGTAGATTACAGACTTGGAATATTTCCTATTTTATTATCTTCTCTTGAATATTCATGAGATATGCATTTCTACATATAAGGTGTTGTGGGGTAACATCAACCCAGATTTCATGAAGTTTATATGTCATCTATCGTGAAAAATTCATTTTTT